TATCGCCATATCATGAGATATTAATCGACCAGTTTCTATAAGTAGATCTTTATTGGTCTTTCTCCAATTGCTAGTGCTCTGATCCCAGGTCGCTGCGGTTATCGTGCAGAGAATTTTTATTTCAAATCTTTCGATACTTTTTTCAAGGGTGCTGGTTAGTGGCCAGGTCTCACAGCCATATATTAGGAATGGCTTTATTGTTCACCCTTAATTTGAGATTTTTCGGATTTAAATACCTATGAAAGGAGGGAGAAAGCTCTGTGGTGCTGTTTATAGGCTAGTCTATTGACCGTACTTTTTAAAATTTCTTTCCTAGGAATAAGTTTTGTATTCTTTATTGACAAATATTAATTTATTCATACTTTTTTCAATAAGTGATCATTATATAAATATTCATTTGTTGCTATTAAAATGTTTATTCTTTAATGCAATGTTGATTCCGTTTCCCTTCTTTCAAATATTAAAAGCATGGAGGCCCGAAATATCGATATTACAATATATTTGAGAACTATCGATAAATTACGGATCCATTGGGGAGGGGATGAACAGGACTTTCAGACATAGGTTCCTCCTCCCAAATAGAAAAATAATTTTTTTTATTGGTACATATTTATTTCTTTAAGTGATTTGAGCTAAATAATTAAATAAAAATCGCATTTTATCAACCCACCACACACATATATTAACACTTAAATTATATCGAATATATAGCTTCAAAGAAAAAAATTGTTCCTAAAAACATTATTGTTCCTGTAATTATTTTATTTTATTTTTTTAAACTATTTATTTGTGATATTTACAACTGTATTACAACATAAATACATCAAGTAAATGTGTACACAGGAATAAAATCACATGAAAACCCTTGTTGAGAAACTACCCACTGGCACCACTCTATATGTATACATAAAGAGATCACGAGGTATTCTTTTCATACGCCTCGGAGGGTTATCAGGAATCGAAGAGGAAGCAAGGTTAGAAACCGGAGGATTCGGATGGTTATGAAGTTTATTATGGAAGGATAGGTATCTGGATTGGGCCAAATTGGAAACAAATGGAACATTGAGGTATTTATGGATTATTTTATTTGTGGCAAAGTAAGGAACATTGAGGATTTTACGAAGGATTGGATACGAGAGAAATTTGATGGTTTCGCGGAGTCCCATAGCTAAACTCCATAAGTCCAAATAGGTCTTATTATAGTCATGTATATGAGTCTTTTGTAATTAATTGGAACTTTAGAGCGTTTTTCTTTTAAGTATTATTATAAGCGAAAACGTCGAGCAGATTTTTATCGTTTCAGTTTTGTATGAGGATCCCAAGAGAGACTTTTGTCCAGGTGGAGTACTAGGTATCGGATTTGTTCAACAGGAATAAGTGGGATTTTATTAAAGTTATGCTCTAGGACAGTAAGTCATAGGTTTACGACGAAGGGTGATTTGATGGGATATATTTTAATCCTCCAGTTTTTATACCATTTTTAAAGGTTTGTGATGTGTGTTTGAAGAGTCTGAGATACAATTGATAGATCGTTGTTCCTGCAATTATAGTTTTTTTTTAAATAGGCCTTAAAAGTCCATAGGCCTTATTCGAACCTTATTTTTTATGGTTTCTTGTTTCTACTAGAGCAATTACTGTTATAAAAAATAAAAATAAAATCCCAAGATTAGAGAAGATTAAATCTTGAGTTTTCTTCCGCAATGGGATTGCCCAACTATCATTTGATCAACTCAAAGCTAGAACGAAATTTTCATTTAGCCAAATTCGTTAAAGCATTTTTTTGCATTGATGATTCGATGAAAATATTCCCATTCTAAGAAAATGATACACCGTGGTTTTGAGAACTATGCTACGTGGAACTTATCCGCGCTAAGATTGAATAATTATTAATATTATGTAACTTAAGTTATTGTAAATAACCAATTACTAATTTTTACAACCATTATAATGTTAGTATTTACCATTGTTGCTATAATATCGGCCTTTGTATACAAAACCTTCGCCCACATGAACTTTCCACTTGCAACAGCCATTGCCACGGTAGCCAGAGCGAAAGGATTTGTTAAGGGATCGCTGGTCTAAACAACGCTGTAGAGGAGTAAATAACACCGTTTCAGCAGTATGAAAAAAGAAAAGAAAAGAAATATCTCAAGGGGTATTGCGCCTTAGCATGGAGGTTGTCTCCACCGGCGAGAGTTTGCATAAATTTCAGTATGTTATTTATGCACAATGAAGATATAAATTATATTAAATTAAACATCTGTCTTTCTTTTAATTATAAATATAATTAATTCTGATTCCTACCAGCCTTCTTTCAAGCTTGTGAAAATACAGCACGGTACAGGACCTTTTTTTAATCATATTATTATCATCCATCTTTAACTTCGTGATTAGTAAACTTGATCTGATAGTAAAATTAAAAATTTTTATTATCGAACATTCTTGGAAATGAGGCGTTTTCAATCTAGAGATCAGCAAACGGTCTCAATTTAATGAGGTAATAAAATCGCTTGAACTCCCGTTTGCTTTCCGCACGAATCGTAAGGCAATTTTATCACAAAAAAGTGTACTAAAAATCAGACCGTTTGGTGTGACCCCCACTCTCAAAATGTAAATAGGTTATATAGGCCAAACGGTACAATATTTTTGTATACCATGATTTTTCTCATTTTTTTTTTATAAAATTATATATTATGTGCTATAAATATCATAAATTAATAAAATGAAAGAATAATAGTCCGTGGTACAGACCCCTTTTTATTATAAACATCCGCCTGAAACTTCGTAAATAGTTTCATCTCATCGTAACTTACTACTATTTTATTTACGAAAACTCTTGCAATTGGGGCGTTATCAATCTGGACGAGGGCAAACTTTGTCTATTTAATTAGGTACTAAAAACTCGTAAATACCTATTTGCTTTCTACTGGATTGTAAAATAATTTGATCACAAAATCGAGAAAAAAAGTGGCCTTCAAAATTATTGAGCCGTTTGGCGTGACCTACACCCTCTAATTTTCAAAATAACGAGGTTATATAGGACAAACAGTCCAATCTTTTTGTAGACGGCCTTTTTTATCGATTTTGTGATCAAATTATCCTAAGATCCAAGTAGAAAGCAAATGGGTATTTACGAGTTTTTAGTACCTAATTAAATAGATAAAGTTTGCCAGATTGAAGACGCCCCAATTCCAAGAGTTTTCGTAAATAAAATAGTTGTAGGTTACGATGAGATGAAACTATTTACGAAGTTATAGGCGGATATTAATAATTTGATAAAAAGAAATCTGTAAACCGTTCAACTTGAGTACTGGACAGTGTGTTGTGTGTTATGGTATACCTCCAGCGCCTCAGAAGAATTCTGATCGTTCTTCAAAAGTTTATTCACATTAATATTAAAAATACAGGTTTATACTTTTACTGTTGGGTTATGCGAAAAGTCGTTTTAATTTTTGAAATTGTTTTTAATTGTAAAGAAGTTAAGGGAAGATATTTATAGAATTAATTTTTTTTTATAACGACTCTTGGTGTATTAATGTTTCATACAGTTCATTTATGTGTAAAAAAAAAAAAAATATTGATGGTTTATTCAAGTCTATTAACATAAATTAGACTTTTCTTTAGAAGTAGTATATTTTATAGTATGCATGTGTTTTATTTTGATTAGTTTAGTTCTTTTGTTTATATACATTCACTTTTATTATTATTAGTTTCTGTATTATTTATTTTTATTTATTGTAAATAGAGTGTGAATGTGAATGTGAACACTATTATAAATGTCCTTAATTGTGACAGATTGTAATATTTCTTAATAAATAAAAAAAAAGAGAGAAGTAGTAAGTCTAGTATACACTATGGCTGTAATTTAATCCAGTAGCTAAATACATCTAACTGCGAAAGTTAGCTTCAGCATATAATTTTTCTTTTTAATTTTCTGGGCAGTCTAAATTTTTATATATGTTTTTGAAGATAACAAAAATATATTTTTTTTATTTTTTTACCTCTCATGGCTCCAGCCCTTTATCAAAACTTGCTAAATAATAAAAAAAAAAAGAGATAGAACATTATCAGTTATATATGTATTCCTTTTTTATTTTTAGTGGTGGTGGTGATGGGACACATCCCAGAAACATTAACTAATAAATATACTATATTGGAGGATATTATTTTTGCTACCTTCGAAGAAAAAACATTTTTTTAAAGGATCACATAAATAGTTTCAGTCCAACTATTTTACTGAGATAAGCGACTTTCGTCTTCGCTTGTTGAGAAATCGGAACCGGCTGCGGAAGTGTTCAAGAAATATCAAACAAAACGGATCAGAATTAGAGATTTTTTTTTACATGTAATAATAAATAAATTTAAAATATATATATATATATATTAGATCACAATAGTTCTACTTTTTTTTTTTTCTCTATACCAAAGTTTCAGTCCTTAGGCTATTTTCAAGGGACCTATTATAAAATAAAATAAAATCAATATGGTCTGAATTGCTCTCTTCTCTATAACTTAATAGTCAATACTAAAAAGTTTTTAATATTAGACTATTAAGTTATTGTAACAAGGATAATAGTTATTATAGTTTTTGGAAGGGAAACATTTATGTAGAGAAAAAAATAAAATGGGACTATTGCGATCTAATAAGTGGTTTTGTTATTACTAATAGTGAAGTCCTAATCAACAAGATTGAAATGTATATTTTTATATTTTATTCTATGTATTATTTAACGCTTTAAAAACCTAATATCGCTTGCAAAGAAAAAAAAAAATATAGTTGTGACACTGCGTGACGATTTAAGGTGGAGAATTCAAAGAATTTTATCTTAATATTACCGGGAGTCGTTTAAAATAACATTATTGATCGATTCTGAAGTGTTTCCAGTTCGATGATTATTTCCACAGTCGCTATAATTCGTAACCTGTTTCTGGTGATTTCTCTTATTTTTAAGGAAGGAAATGAGTGGAGGTTTTCCCAACTAGATCCAGTTATGCAACCTTCACCGAATTTCACTTTCCAGTTCATTGTAGCTAAGAAAGATGCGGAAGTGTTGTAAGCGGCGACGGTAGTGGGTCAGAGGATATTCGGCCAGGTCAGAGGGGTGCCCGCTGGTGTTGGGGAGCCCGTGGTCCGAATATCGAGTGGGGGTCGGGAGTCCGAGCACGTCCTCGGCTCCTCTTGTCATCTTCACACCAAAGCCGTCCCCGCCGCTATCGGCCCCTTCTCGGATTTCTTTGGTCCTGCTCTGGGGATTCTAAGCAGTTGGACTTTTTTTTTTTTAACAGGAATGCTGGGTGTGGGAATTCCAGGAATACAAGAACTGACCTTTCGTTCTCGACGTTCAAACCCATAAACTGAGATTCAAGATTCCTCTAATGAAATGGCTTATGGGAATGAAAAGAGCAACGCTCTTTCCTAACTATGTTAAGTAAATACTAAAACCTGTTTTATGTGCTGGTTAGAGGCTGAATAAAAATTGTAATATGCATAAATCTATACCTGTACAATCCATGGAGGATCTAGCTTCAGTAGTCAGTAAAGAAGTACTGTTTCTTGCTCAACGGTTGTGTAAGGAGCTGGTTAAACCGAAATCACGCTTAACCATTACCAAAGAATCAATAAACCTCTTCTGTTTTGTCTAATATTTTTCCAACATTTACTTTGCCTGGGGGTTCCGATTTTTGAACAAGCTATGACAAAAGTTGCTTTTTTCCGCACGTTTTAGTTGGTTATGGCTCAGTAAAAAAGTTGATCTGCCATTATTCATATGTTTCTTAAAACAATAGTTCTTTTTCAAACAACATCCTCCAATATGGTGTATTTATTAGTTAACGTTTCGGGAATGTATCCCATAAAAAAAAACAAAAAAAAACATACTAATAAAAAAAGATAATAGATTTTCTCTTTTTTTTTATTAGAATGTTTTGATAATTGATAGAGAGCCAAACATCAAAAAATAAACAAATTAAAATATTTGATTGATATTTGAAAGATTTGAGCTCTTACTTTTGCTACTTTCAAAGAAAAATAGAAATATTTTAATTAGGTTTTTTTATTTCTTTATTTGTTAACCTTTAGTTTCGTTATCTGTTTACCTACAGTTATCGAGTGTAACTTCTACTAGTTTGTTATCCACTGATGTCTTACGTTATCTTATTGTTATTGTTTACCTTTACTAGATCATTACTTATTCATTTTTCATTTTCTTGTTTTGTTAAACTACAGTTACCAAATGCAACATTTACCAGTTTGTTATCCACTCATATCTTATCTTTTTATCACAATCTGTTTATTTTTAACTTGCACACTATATTCACCTTTGTTTTATAATTTTATTCACACTTATTTTCTATTTTTGTTTGTATCTTCTATATATGTAATATTTGATATTTTAACTACACTGTCACCCAATATAACTCTGATGTCATCTTATTATTTCTTTATCAGACAACTATTTCTTTTTTAATATCACTAATAATTAATTTTTTTTTTCACCATGTACCTTTTATTTTTTGTATATTTTGTAGATGAAGACCTACCAAGTGGGTCGCCGAAACGTCGGCGTAAACAATAAAATACTATTTTGATATATAGTATTTATTTGACCGCACCCCCATCCCCCTCCCGACCAACTCCTCAGAAGCTCTCAGAAAATTTTGTTTGTTAAAACTTTCAGTTCCAATTGTCGTTACATTGTCTAGGAAAAGAAGCATCCATTCACAAAAAAAAACAAAAACATAAATATATACATACATACATACATACATACATACATACATACATACATACATACATACATACATAATACATACACATATATATATATATATATACCCGCCCTCACCCTCTGGTCCGGGAAAATCCCGTATAGCCTAAAAGGCGAGGTAGGGAAGAAAAGAAAAAAAAAATATATGTATATATATATATATATATATATATATATATATATATATATATATATATATATATATATATATATATATAAATATATATACACATATACATATATGTATGTATATATTTATGTATGTATGTATATAAACATTAGATCATGTAGGCAATCTAGTTATTACAAAGCTAAGTGAAGAAAGATGTGAGAACCAATCAAGAAGACCGTAAGCGGAAGGTAGTACTTCCATTCTGAGCGTGGGAATGTCGGTCGGTCAGTGGGAATATGGAATGTGTTCGCTTCATCGGCGGAGTTGCCGCTCAAATCGGCGATGTCTTTCCGAGTTTGGGATAGAATAGAATTAAAAAAAAAAAAATACTTTGTTCTGAATTAAGTTCTCTAAGGGTAACAGTGGTGTGCAGGGAAAAAGATTACTTCTGGCCAGATGATCTATTACATTATATAAATAAAAGAAAAAAAAACTTGAGTAAACTAACAATATATACAAGACGAAAAAAACCGAATTACTAGTTTGTCGATTAGCGAGGTTACTGTGATTAATTGCGATCTACTAAAGAGCTATCTTTTGAGGCAGTGTTTTGTGTTTTCTTTTTGTTCTAATTGTTCATAGCCATCTTATTGTTTTCTAGTGTTTTATCATGTTTTTTATTGTTATTATTAGTTGTAAGTGTAAATAGTGTACATAGATTGAAGTTTGGACAGGAGAGGTTAAGTAGTATAAATTTCGTGAAGGAGTTCTTGTTTGAAAAATTTTGAGTTCCGAGTGTTATATTGAGTAGAAGATCTCTAAAAGACCTTCCCAGGGAGCACACAGAAATTAACTTTACTGAATCTGTGTAAAAAAAATAAATTTGTAAGTATAACCTGTTTAAGTGATAAGAAATATTATTACTGTTACTATTTAAGTTATTAAGTGTCTACTCTTTAAAGACTTGTCCAGGAGTAATATTATAGACAACATGGAGGGAGATGAAAGGGAAGAAGGGGACCCTCCAAGGGTTTCACGTTCAACCGCAAAAAGGGCGAGAAAGGTTTCTCTTGGTGATAACGCAGAAGCTTCTGAGGTAGGAATCTCAAATGACTTCCTTCAAAAAGCAAAGATAATTCAAGAAAACCTCCGAATATACCTTACTAAAGCTGACAAAAGTATTAAAAATAAAGACCAAAACCACATTAATGGCAAAATACAGTGGTTCATTGACGCTATTGAATCGTTGGAGGAAAGGACAAAGCAGTACAAAGATAAGAGTGAGGGCTTATCTTTACTTGTCCATAAAGCGGTTCAGGAAACACTTACCTCGCCTTCAGTACATTCGATGATAACCAGCATCGTAATAGAGAAAACAGTGCCGAAGGTTATAGAATCTCTCTCAGGAACCACTATGAAATCTAATGGTCCCCTCGCCATCCCTGGAAAAAGCAACGAAAAGTCATCCGCGACTAACGTGACCCCGCCTGAGCCTTTACCAGCCGCAGTTCCTTTTACAGTCGTTAAGAGCAAAAGAAACAGGAAAAAGACTAAAAAGTCTACCGGTCCCGAAAGCCTACAAACTGAAAATGAAACGCATAAGACAGAGGCGGAATCTTTGACTGGGTCCGGTCCAAATCAGCCGAAGTCATTGGCCGAAATAGTACGAAAATTGCCTTTAAAACCTACTCAGTCCCTCAAGCCGGCGTTTATTACTATTAGCGGTACCGGTAAGAGTCCGGTGGACATTATCAATGCCCTGCCTTCCCCCACAGAAATAGGTGTTAAGGCTGAAATTGTTCGAGCAACCAAAGGTGGTTCCGTTTTAGTCCGATTAGAAGACAGTACCCATGCCACTAAAATAATTGGTTGGCAGGGGTTACGGGAGAAAGGTTTTCAGGCAAAACTAGCACAAAGAAAGAAACCTAAGATTGAGGTGAGGGGTGTCCCTCACTCATGGGGCTCAGCTGAATTAACGAGATTTTTGTGGGGAAGAATAAACGAGAAGTCAGTCCCTACTACACTCATTAATGATGATATACGGCCATTATTATCCTCAGTATCTAGGAATGGACTAAGTAGGAACTGGGTACTCGAAGTTCACCCAATGGTGAGGTTCCAGCTGTTGGAAATGGCAGCTTTAGATGGAGGATGGTGGTCCATGACGTTTAAGGATTACCTCGACGCCCCTCGTTGCACAAAGTGCCAAGGCTATGGACACACGAAGGCTACCTGTACGGTGGATACCGTTGTATGCATATGGTGTGCAGCCAATGGACACATACTCAAGGACTGTCCAAGGAAGAAGGAACAAACTGGCCCGACTTGTATTAACTGTGTGCGGGCGAGTGCACCGCAAAGCCAAACGAAGCATAAAGCGGGCAGCCGAGAGTGCCCTGTACACTTAAGATGGTCAAATGAGGTGGCTAAGAGGACCTACTATGAATAATATCACCATTCTCCAGCTCAACATGGGCCGTCGTCGCATCGTAGCGGATGAGTTGAGGGCTCTTGTTGGACGTTATGATGTTATGGCGATTCAAGAACCGAGCTGCCGTGGGAACATGGTCACGGGGTTTGGCCTCACATCGAGGATTATAGCCCTGAGCAGTGGAGAGAGGAGGCCCAGGGCAGCTATAGTGGTAAATAACCCAAACCTCGATGTGATGGATCTGAGGCAGTTTACCACGGCGGATTGTGTCGCATGTTATATCAAATGGGGTAATATTACCTTTACGTTGGTTTCATCATATCTTCCTGACGGAGGTGATATAGACAACGACATATCCGCCATGGAGATGATCACGGCTTGCTATAGAAACATCATCATCTGCTCAGATACCAACTCCTGGAACACGGTCTGGGGATCCAATCAAACGAATAGAAGAGGCGTTAAACTCGGAGAATTCATTGGCCGAAGCCAGCTAGTGGTAATGAATGATCCCTCTGCCTTGCCAACGTTTTCTAGCGCTCGAGGGCAGAGCTGGATTGATGTAACACTGGCATCACCGGTGCTAGCGAGTCGCATCAACGATTGGATCCTCCGATCTGAGACGAGTTCCGACCACCAAGCGATAGCTTTTAAGCTGGTGGAAAATATGGAAAGTTCCCACGGCATCGCTATGGGTTATTTAACCCGAAGGGCAAATTGGAAAGCCTTCCGGTCAACGCTGGAGGAAAAATTAGTAGATGAAGAATGGGATGAAGCGGAGACGGACCAGACAGATAGTCTAGATTATAGGGTCTCTAGGATCACAGATGTCATCCGTGACGCCGCTGAGGAATCCCTCCAGCAACGGAAGGTGAGAGCTCGACCTATCCCATGGTGGACGCCGGCCTTAACTGCTATGAAGAGAGAGCTCTACAAGGCCCGGCGGTCCTATCAAAAGTGTGGTAGTGAGGAGAGGCGCGCCACACTTCGCGACGAGTATAGGTCCAAGTCCAGAGCATACCGAAACGAAGTGCGCTCTCGAAAAAGGAAGTCTTGGGACGAGTTCATTATTGAAGAATCGTCCAAGAACCCCTGGGGTATCCCTTACAGAGTTGCCTTGGGTAAGTTAAATCCACAACAGGTAATAGCCGCATTGAAACGCGGAGCTACTCAGGCAACCACTCTGGAGGAGACGGCAAAAACGTTCATTGCGGAAACCTACCCCAGGGATGATCCGTCCCAAGATAATGAAGAGGAGAGATACATTAGACGCACTACGGTATGCCCACCAGGTACGGACCTATGCCCACCATGGGACATATGGGATCTCCGTGCTGCCGTGGATAGGCAAAGGACTGGTCGAGCTCCTGGCTTGGATTCGATAGACACAGCAATACTAAGGAATAGTATCCCCTACATTGAACAAAGGCTGTTAGCATTGTTCAATGATTGCCTAGACAGGGGTTACTTCCCTAAAATATGGAAGATTGCTGATGTTAGACTCCTTTATAAGGGAGGAGATAAGGACAAGCAGTTAGCGAAGTCATATAGGCCTATATGTCTCCTTCCTATAATGAGTAAATTGTTGGAGACCTTGCTGATGAGGAGTCTACGACCAGTCTTCTTAAGAGCTAGCCATCCACGACAGTACGGATGCACTAAAGGTAGGGGAACCGCAGATGCTCTGCTCAGAGTGCGCCGTGACGTTGAAGAGAAGGCGGAGAAGTATGTAATGCTTCTCCTGTTTGATATATCCTCCGCCTTCGATAGCGTTTGGTGGCCGAGTGTACTCCAGCAGTTGCAAAAGTATGAAGCTCCCAGCAACCTGTACGACCTCTTAAGAAGCTATCTAGAAGACCGTAAATTAATGATAAAAGGTAACTTCTTTGCTGTAGAGGATTCTGTAGAAAGAGGATGCCCACAAGGATCTGTACTAGGTCCAGCCTTGTGGAAACTGGTATTTGACGAGCTGCTGGGAGTACTGGAAGAGCAGCGGTTCCCCGCCACTGCTTACGTAGACGATCTCGCAGTCGTGGTGGCATCGAACAGCAGAGCCAGATTAAAGGAAGAGGCTGAACGGTGCGCCAACCTTGTAGGAGAATGGTGCGAGAGAAAGAAGATGAAGATGGCGGCTTCAAAGACTCAGTCCGTTCTTTTGAGGGGTAAGACTGACAGGGCCCACCCTATCACTCTGAATATACAGAGAGAAACGATACGTCCAAGTGAGGCGGTCACCTATCTTGGGATAAGGACTGGAAGAAAGTTTAACTTCACCCCTCACTTGGACTATCTGAGAAGTAGAGTGGCCCTGGCTCTTAATGGACTGAGTCGCATCGGGGGCGCCTTTTGGGGTCTCAGATACCCAGCCACTTTGGCTATTTATAACGGAGTTATCTTGGGTATCCTGAGATATGCGTCCCCTGCGTGGAGTCAGACTCTCTCGCACCTACAGAAGAAAAGGTTGGCGACGATCCAGCGTATGGCTCTGCTGCGTGTCACTAGGGCGTACCGGTCAGTATCTCATGAGGCGGTACAAGTCTTAGCCGGAAGTATTCCAATCGATCTTCAACTTCGTGAAGACTACTTTCGGCACGAAATGAAGAGAGATGGCTTGGTGGATCTACCGGCTAATCTCCGAGTGAGGATCAGTGAAGACCCAAGCAGATGGAAGAGGATTCTCCGGGAATGCACATTAGAAGAATGGAACCGGCGTTGGATGACAACGCCAAAAGGATCAACCCTAAGGAAATACTTCCCCACCGTCGGTTCAAGAATGGAAACTACATGGCTCCTCCCGGACTATTGGGTCTCGCAATTCCTCACGGGGCATGGGGGATTCCGAGCAAAGCTTGTTCAACATGGTAAGAACATTGATCCCCTATGCCCAAGTTGTAGGGTACCGGAGACCGCCGAGCACGTCTTATTAGCCTGTACCGCCTATGAGGCATTGAGGGCTAAGTTGCTGAGGGAGACTGGGCTCTATGTCTTATCAGAGCGCGATCTACCTCAGCTAGTGACCAGAGAGAACTACCCGCACTACAAGGCCTTTGTGTACGGGTGGAAAGACATCATTGGCCCAGCCCACTTCTATTTGGGTAGAAGAGAAGAAGCTCCACCACAGAGGATGGAAGAGCCAAGCTAAACAGAAAATCTTATTGTATCGATTGCAGTATTGGCTAGTTATGCACACACGTGTAGCTATCCAATACTGCAAACACTCGTATTGCCAAACTGGCAGGGCAGAGATTTAAATAAATAAATAAATAAATAAATAAATAAGACGAAAAAAACCAAACTATATATAAAGTACTTAAACAATATGCAAAACGAATGAAAATAATTGCAGCTTAGAATGAAAAGAAAACAAAAAATAAATTAAACTCCTCTAATAAATGAGCACCAATTATCTGATAAATAAAAAAAACACAACGTAAATATAACTTTATATACAAAAGAAAACAAATGAAACTATGTACAACATACTTAAAACTATATACAAAATAAATCAGAAATGATACGAAGTATACGCATCTTGAAAGATAATAGGGAACACAAAATAATATTTAACATCTTTAATAGATAAGCACCAAGTCTCCTATGAAAAAACATTGGATTTTCGGGAAAATAATACAGAATTTTGGGTTTTCATTAAAATTCCCCTCTATGTAACAAACTGTTTAGGTTTACTGGATTATTCATTTGTATAAATGTCAAAACTTATTAATCCTCTTTCAAACGATAATGTTTGTTTACCTCTGCAGCATTTCGCTGGTTAGAAATAAATCAGTCTTCAATAAGATTTCAACGCGTGATTTTAGAATAATTTGGTTTTACGAGTTTATACTCAACTCGAAATGGACCCCAGAAGCATCAATCAACAAAGTTACAGGAGGGAGACTTCAGCCTCAAAGACAAAAAAGGTTGTAGAAGGACTTACTCTCTTGATGACGATGTTCTGCGGCCTTTGGTTGATGGAAACTCTAGAATAACTGTTCGAGAAGTTGCATGGAAACTTAATCTTAGCAAATAGACCATCGTTGACCACCTCAAGGCGATTGGAAAGGTAAAAAAGCTTGAAAGTTAAGTTCCACACAAATTAAACGACCGCCAAAAAAAAAGAAGAAAAAAAAGTTATAAAGTTTGTGCTTCACTTCTTTGCCGAAACAGAAACGAGCCTATTCTGTCCAGAATTGTTACTTGTAATGAAAAGTGGATACTTTGCGATAACAGGAGACGTTCTGGACAGTGGCTCGACCAAGGGGAAGCAGCAGTACATTTTCCAAAGCCCCCAACTCATCAACCCATCAAAGCCGAATCGTATTGTAACTAAATTATTGCAATAATGAAGCCATCTTTGGGCCAATCGCAAGGAGCCCATTTTGTTGCATGACAACGCCCGGCCACATGTTTCACGTGTGACGTCACAAAACTGTTGGAACTTGGATATGAAACTCTGCCACATCCGTCCTACTCTCCGGACCTCTCGCCTACGGATTATCATGACACCTAGACCGTTATTTACGTGACAAAAAATTGAATGGACAAAGGGAATTAGAGAATGCGTTTTTAGAGTTTATCGATTCTAAAGCATGGGAAATTCTATTCCGATCTAATGGAAAAGTTGCCAACATGTTGGCAGAAATGTATTGATAGTAGTGGAGACTATTTCGAATAAATAAGATAGATAGATAATTTATTTTATTTGTCTAAGAAAATTCCTGTACAAATAAATATAATGGTATAATTAACAATGTTAGATCTTGGGTCTAGTACTGCATTCAAACATATATATATGTATATATATATGTATATATATATATATATATATATATATATATATATATATATATATATATCGTTTACTAATCTGTTATTATATTAGTCATACTTAATGCTGTGGACGTTGTTAATGTTATGTTTGAATGCAGTACTAGACTCAAGATCTAACATTGTTAATTATACCATTATATTTATTTGTACAGGAATTTCCTTAGACAAATAAAATAAACTATCTATCATTTAGGATAACTTTTCGTTCATCATGAGATATATTGCAGATAATAACTCGTCGAAAAATTACTAAAATCGCTACTAAGCTATTCTTTAGTATTAAAAATTGGATTTTATTTCTGTTTTCAAAGTATAAGAAGACCTAGAACTCACAGCAAGGACTTTATATAGAAAGTCCAACAAACAACATTGAACAAAGCTATACCTTCATGGTAATTAGTTCCATGAAATAAAGAGACATCTGAACATAGCAATTATCATTTCCACCTGAATCAGCTGAACGCTCATTTGTAAATTTGAATTATTTCATCTTAAGATATTGATAACAACTAGTAAAACATTTTTATTTTTTTTATTTTATTTTATTTTTATTTTTTTAAATATTCGAGAGGTATAAGACAAATGACAATATAAATAAACATTAATATATGTTATATGATTAACTTTACCACTTAACAGTTCAATGAACAGCCCTGTATGAAAAAATACAGTTGGTTTATTTTTTTCGTAGTGTCTATTTTCATTATCTCCTCCACACTAGCATCTTCTCTGGATTCAGTGATAAATGCCTTCAAGTACTTATTTCTTGGCTCGTTGAACTTGATACATTGGATCAGAAAATGAGTTACCGGGTCAGTTACAAGGCGGTTGCATGCACCACATACCTCACTGGATTTAATAGTCAAAGTAGCATCTTTTAAGTATATTTTCATAAAATCTTTACTTGCTACTATGAGACGACTAACGGCTCTTAATTTGTTTAAATTCAGAGCCCTGAACTGAAGATAATCCTCTGGTCTGGTAACATTAACATTTCGAATAAATAAAACAGTTATAAATCTTTCTTTTTAAACGATAATCCTGCATTGTTTTCCGGAGAACCCAATACATCTGTCATTTGAATCAATTTTTAAATGCATTAAAATAACTTAAATAATAACTTTCAATAGACCAATAAAAAAACAAATAACATTAACATGTATATACGGTATAATATCAATGTTATCATATACAAATTTGACCTTTGCTCTCCTCCTCACCCCTTGGCTCACCGCTTAGACGTCAGGACTTTTGATGTTAACACCCCAAGTACTTTGATCAAGTGTCTGAATCGCTAAGCTCCCTGCTCTCGCATTCTATATCTCCTTCATTGACTGGATTATATCAAGACTTCCCTTCAACAGTTTGACAAGGAACCTCTGGACCATTCCTTCCTTGTGATTCTATCTTGATGGTTACCTCCTTAGCCAAGACTAACACAAAGAAGCGGAGAGAAAATTTCTTTTCGATTTGGTTTCTGATTGACTGGACTCAGATAGAATACAGTTTCACCAGTTATACAATGCTAGGCCTGCTCTAAAGGGAAACTATAGCCTATTAGAGCCGGCCTGTTGCCGTGTAACCTCCAGCCTACCGTGACTACAGCGTAAGCTCCTCAAGGTTTTTATTCTTGCCGAACCGCGCTTTTGAATTATAGATCAATTTCATCCCTTGTTTCTCATCCCTGCTATTGTACAGTAATCTAATTAATTCTACAATTTATTAAAAACAAAAGAACCATTTTGACATATTGTTACCTTTTTTGGAATGAATGTAACTGTATCAGATTTCTAGCCTCCTGTTGGTGTATTATTGTCAATAATCAAACTTTGTAATCGTCCAAGAGAAAAAAAGTTCCCATCCCCTCAAAATTTGAGGTTTTACCTTTCAAGATAGGTATAATCCGAAAATCGAATAAAAACAGATCCACCCATCCTCGGCATTTCTTTGAGAATACTGAACCGATTGTTTTGAGCTTTGGTATCAATGTCAAAGGACACAGAAGATTACCCCGGTACTCGGCATACTTTAACATCTCTCCTTCCTCATTACTCGTCTTTCCTTTCATCATGGCGCCCGAAAAACCTGTGGCGCTATAGACTGTAGCGCCTACAGGGTTGTACTGATTTCAATAAAACTTGACAAAAGTCTTTTCTTCGAAGCCCTTTAAAATTATGTATATAACATACTTCACCTACGTTACCTAACATATCTTATTTACTCAGATAACAATATAAATAAATTTAAAAATAACGAAATTTATTCAAATTCCAACTTATATCGAAAACAAGCAAACTCCTCAGACGGACATCGTACACTACCTTACCTTTGATAGAAGGATGATATGGAGTCACATTTCAAAATGAAACGGAAGACCCTCATTAGACGACTCAAACTATTTTACTCAAGTTTTTCTAAATCTTCAAAACTAGAACTGAGAAACTAAATACGTACCTATTATTACTTAAACCTATATGGAATTACTCCTCACAGATATACACAAACTTCAAACTTCCCAATCAAAAATATTACGACTTATAACTAAAGCACCTTGGTAAGTGACAAACAAAACCTTACATACCAACACATAAGAATACTTAACAAGCGATTTCACAATAATTTACGCGGGCATACTAACATACTGATCAGAGATATGCCCTTCAGCTGACATGCCCATCAATATGAGGAGGAGACTAAAAAGACGCTGGATGGACTTCCTTCTGGGTGCTATCTTTCCCCATGCCTGTCACTTTAAAAAAAAAAAAAAAAAAGCATTCACAGATTTTATCTGATTCTTAACGGAACTTTCATATGATATCTTTTATAAAATAATTGATTCATTGCTTATATACCGTACCTTACTGAATATCTGCATCCGCACATGCTTCTAACTAGGCAGGATGCATTACACGAAGATAAATTACGCACCATGCTTTAAAACACCCAATTTTCCAGAGTAAAACATAAATATCGTAAAAATTTGTTCCTGTAAGATTAATGTTTTTTAATTTCGATGTGTCGGAAAATTAATATCCTCATATTAAAAGTTCGTTGTCTTAATCTTCAACAGTTATTGTATACGATTATTCACAGATTTACTTGAATGTTTAGTAATTATGTTATGTCCTTTGTCATATGAAAATGGTTAACTCACTCGAGGACTTCTAGCTTTAGCTGCACTTTTTTGGGCCATGTGAAACTTATCACGGTCATGAGGTCAAGGCTGACGATTTCGCTCATCTGTGCCGGTATCGGCTAAGTTCTTGTTTCATTTTCTATGTGATTTTGTTATTTCTGGGTTTTCATTAAAATAAAAGTAGCCGTTCTTCATAAAATATTTAATATATCCGACATAAGGCCTTACTGTTGTACCATTTGTGAACAAAGGTATCTACTACTTATTGAACTTCCAGAAAATCAGTTTATTTATTATGAGGCTATATTTTTTTTTCTTCAATAATAGTTGTTTCATCGTTAAATTCATTATTGCTAGTTAAAAGGGAAACAAATATTTAGTATAGTAGTAGTATTCAGTATTATTTTTTTAGTATATAGTATATGTATTTAGTATATTAATTTAGTAGTATCTAGTTTAGTTGTAGTATAAAAGGGAAACATTTAGGATAACTTATAAGATTTATCAAATCATTGCTCCATTGGCCAAGAAATGCACCGAACTATGTGGCTCGCCTTGAAAGTGGGAGATCTCCATTAAGTGTTGAATTGTTGAAAAAAATGATCAACTATTGGACAAAGCTAAGCTTAATGAGTGACGAAAGACTACCTAGACAATGCTTTAATAGGCTTAGAGCTCTAGACTCATCCATTGGAAACCTGGTCCAACTTGATGTCAGGGGCTGTTTTCTTGTGTTTTCTCTCACGGTCTGATGAGGTTCAAAGATGAAATCATGGAAAAAATAAGAAACCATCACGCATCCAAGGACATCGACTGAGTGTTAAACTCTAAATCAAACCCAAGATATAGAAAAATCTGCTACTTTAATGTTACCAAACCAGAGGATTATCTTCAGTTCAGGGCTCTGAATTTAAACAAATTAAGAGCCGTTAGTCGTCTCAGAGTAGCAAATAAAGATTTTATGAAAATATACTTAAAAGATGCTACTTTGACTATTAAATCCAGTGAGGTATGTGGTGCATGCAACTGCCTTGTAACTGACCCGGTAACTCATTTTCTGATCCAATGTATCAAGTTCAATGAGCCGAGAAATAAGTACTTGAAGGCATTTATCACTGAATCCAGAGAAGATGCTAGTGTGGAGGAGATACTGAAAATAGACACTACGAAAAAAATAAACCAACTGTATTATTTCATACAGGGCTGTTCATTGAACTGTTAAGTGGTAAAGTTAATCATATAACATATATTAATTCTTATTTATATTGTCATTTGTCTTATACCTCTCGAATATTTAAAAAAAAAAAATAAAAAATGTTTTACTAATTGTTATGTATAATATATATATATATATATATATATATATATATATATATATATATATATATATATATATATCGTTTACTAATCTGTTATTATATTAGTCATACTTAATGCTGTGGACATTGTTAATGTTATGTTTGAATGCAGTACTAGAATCAAGATCTAACATTGTTAATTATACCATTATATTTATTTGTACAGGAATTTCCTTAGACAAATAAAATAAACTATCTATCATTTAGGATAACTTTTCGTTCATCATGAGATATATTGCAGATAATAATTCGTCGAAAAATCACTAAAATCGCTGCCAAGCTATTCTTTAGTATTGAAAATTGGATTTTATTTCTGTTTTCAAAGTATAAGAAGACCTAGAATTCACAACAAGGACTTTATATAGAAAGTCCAACAAACAACATTGAACAACGCTATACCTTCATGGTAATTAGTTCCATGAAATAAAGAGACATCTGAACATAGCAATTATCATTTTCACCTGTATCAGCTGAACGCTCATTTGTAAATTTGAATTATTTCATCATAAGATATTGGTTTCAATTAAGAATATCCAAAATAGTTTGTTCTGTATTGAATATTCTCAATATATAATAAAATTTATTATTTATTTTATTGTGGACTTGTATAAAAAGTTTAAAACTTATCAAAATTCTTTTGTTTATGAATCAGAATCTTTATATATAATATAGTAGTTTTTCGCAGTGTAGATTCATTTTCCCCGCTCTCAAGAGCGATGGATTTTGATGAATGAGATATCAAACGAAAGGGTATTAAATGGAGCAGTGACAAGTCATAGTAACATCCCCTCGAGAAATTTCAAGGAAAAAAGTAATGAATGAAAAGAAACTTTATTTGCGAATAACTTAAAAAGTATTTCTTAAAAAGTATAAAAAGTACTTTTTTATCTTGATTATACCCATTATTATTTGAAAGATTGCTAAATTCATCACAAAAAAAAATTAATTAGAAATTTGTTAATTTGAAACAATTACCTAAGGAACGAAATGGGTTCAAATATTTTTGAAAGGAAATTCGAAGTCGAAGTTTGTATTTAACACCTCGAAAAAATTTTTTACTCTTAAATTTTGACATAGACCTCCCTCGGATTTTTTTTTTCGAAAATTAAAAAAAGTGTGAGAACCTCAACATGCTTTCATCTATCCGCACGAAAATCCAAATGATGATGAAATGAATTCGAAATGGCACAAACTGGACACCCGTAAAAAATATTAGAACTGAGTATATAAAATAAAAACATTTGAGTTTTTATATATTTATTGCTTTTGGATTGTACTCATAATTATTTGAAAGATTTCAAATAAAATTTCCTATAATTAAAAAAAAAATCATCGAAATCGGACCATTATTATCAAAGATACAGCCTATAGTAATGTACACGTTTTGTTTATTATTTTGAGTTAACTAATGTGATTTGACTGAGAAAAATAAAATTATTTCTTCTATCTCATAATACATATCATGTTATGTTGTCAAGTGGTTGCTGACCAATATTTTATGCGACTTATCAGAATGCGATTTATCTTAATTATCAGAAAATTATATGTTGTGTTTTAGTGTTGATTTCAATAAAATTCAGCCTCTGTTGCGTAAATATTGTTTAATATTTCAGCCTTAGTGCTTATTGTTTCGAAAAAAATCAAAATACTTTAAGCAACAGCTATCAGAAAAAAGAAAGAAAAAATCGATCATTGGTGTAGCGCCCAACCATTGAAGATAGGAAATTCGATTGATGTGAAATCGTCCAGATCGAAATCGTTTATTGGACTGATCATTCTGATCATAGACCGGTAAAATGCAACGTAAATTGAAGTCGCTCTTTGTAACAGACCCAATTGCTTAAAAGGATAATGTCATAATGTTTTTATTTACTCGTATTTCCTAACAATATTTCTTTCTTCTACCTTTAACTCATCAGCCATGGAATTGGCTTTGTTAATTTGTTATGTATTTATTGAAGGAATGACGTAACCAGGGTTCGAAAGTGTATTTTTACTCATGTTTCATTATGGGTTCACCAACTTCAAAGATCGACCAACTGGAACTGAGTTTATGTAAAAAGTGAAATCATAGCTAAAGAAAAGTTTTGCTTTAAGAAATCCGCCTGAATAATATATCAATCCTTACAGTAAAAGCGTTTATGTTGGGTTGTACGTAAATATTACAACTGCTTTTGGGTATATATTTTTTTTGCGCACCAAAATCAAACCACTATAATTTGTTGTGTATTTAATTTCTAAGTAGCGGTTACATCATATTAAAAAATATTTAGGTATGGTCAAAAAATGTATTTTTAATATCCAATTTAAAAAAAGATTTATTTTATATATGTTGATACCTGGTCTTCAAGAAGTAGATAATCCGCGAATCGTTGAGAAATAAGTGTTAATAGCCAACGGGGCTCAAAAAACTGGTTTGCCTGGAAAGTTTTTAAGGAGTTTTGATATTTTGCATTTCCATGTTTTTAAAGCTGCCAATTACCTAAGTCATTTATTTTAACAGATTAGGCCATTTTTTTTTTTGAATATTGTGTTCCGATATACAGAATTTTCTCTCGGCATACTCTCCTTTGGAAAAATTTCTCCTCTCACTATCACTTGCAGACATTTCCTCTTTTAAATCTTTCACCCAGATATCTCTTGGCCACCTCCTCTTCTGTCTATACTCTGGCTAGTATAGAAACACTTTTTTTGGCCATCCGTCTTCAGCTTTGCAGTAGCTTTACATCTAAATGTCAATTTTTTTTTTATTTATTAAGTAATATAAAATGAACAGAAGAAAATTAACAAATAAATAATAATTATCAAAAGTATAAACATAAAACAAAATAATTTAAAGACAGGTAAAATTTAAAAAAACGCAGACATACTTATAATAAATAAATAAATACTACTAATAAAACAGAAAATATAGAGTAAAAAGGATTTTGATTTTTACAACTCTCTTCACAACAATGGTCTATCCCGATATCCCTTTCTTCCTGCATGTCTTCATCGCAGTGTGTCACCAAGTTTTCAACATCAAATTATTTTCTGGTTATTCCAAAATTGGGTGGGGATCCTCTTTGGTTCACTATCGAAAAGCAATTCATTGACATTTTTACGAGACTGGTTTACACAATATGTGTACAGCCCAGTGAAGTTTTAAAAATACCGAATACTTAAATAATAAGAGTTATCAACGCATTAAAAAACACGGAGGTACAAAATATCAAAACTATCTCAAAGTTTTTAAGATAACCCTCAACGCACCGTAGTAATTCGTATAACGTGTTCAACGGGTATTATAAAATGTATGCTACCGGTTTTCGAAACTCATAATATATTACTTTATAAAGTATTCAACATTTCAGTTCACGTATGAAATATAATTATTAAAATAACAATGGAAATGCTTATCTTCTTGAAAATCCTTTAAAAATTGGATTTAAATTGCAGACAAAACAAAAAGAATGGTTAATGCTATAAATTCATGATTAATAGTAGTAGTAAAATTTTACCACAGGAATGATTTTTTAAAAAATAAAATTAACATACAAATTTTCCTTTGAATTAAATCTACCCTGATTTTCAATTTTTTTTTCCGATTCTTGTAATGTTATATATGATTAATATTGTCTATAATAGTATTGGCAATTTTTAAATTTAAGTATAGACTGAAGTATGAATTATTTTCGTAACTTGATAATTCTTAAGTAACATTTGACTTTACAATTGTTTTCATAAACACAGGTCATTAAAATTAC